TTTGTTTTAGGTTTTCCTTTTCTCTCTCTCTCTCTCTTTTCTATTTTTCTCTCTCCTCTCTACTTCTTCTTCCAGGAAACCCACTCTTGCTCAAGAAACCGCAGCGTTATACAATTCTGCGCGCTGCGGGCCCTCAATAGTGGAATCATTGCGGAGTGACGCTTAATGATTCCGTTTGAAGAGAAGTTTTCACTTCCCCAGAACTAGGGATTTCACAACGCAGGGAGAGATTTTTTTAAGGGCATTAAAAATAGTGAGTTTGTTTCTACTTCCTTTGACCTAAACTGCCTCCTACAGAGAGCTGCACTTCAGTAAAGTGCATTTTGATGATCTCCTCTCTGCGCCTCCTCGCTTGTCGTTGGCAGGGGATGCCAAAACAAAAGCGAAGAGCCCTCAGGCGAAATCTTCATTTTTAGGATGGAGTAGTTATTCTTGCTATGAAACACTAACGTGTGACCGTACAGGTCTTCATAAAAATAAAAAATATTATTATTAATAATAATAAATTATAATATTAATAATAATAATAAAGACATTTAATGTGGGAGTACAGGTAACCCCGTCAGTCCGAGATCTTACTTTTAAAGGAATCCCACGAAAAGGTTAAGGGAAAGTAATTCCTTCTCCCCCTAATAATCACCTACACGAATTTGGAAGGAGGGAGTGCATTAAAGAAAAAAAAAGAAACCGTTCTTACTTGAGCATCCGTGAGCCCCAGCATCGCCGCGAGTTGCTTTCTGTCCGGCTTGGTGACATATTTCTGGATTTCGAACCGCTTTTCTAAACCTTTCCTCTGCAAGTTGGAGAAAACCGCCCTGGACCAGGAGCGTTTCCTCTTGTACGTCTGAGGCAGCGTGTCCTTGGTTAAAACCGCGTACGGACCTGGCGTTGGGGACGAGACACAGAGAGGGAGAAGGGGACAGGGGAGTGAGATATTAGCAAGAAGCAGTAAATCCGCTCAAATCAGCGTCGCGGCATGCAGGGAAGGCCCTGCCTGCCGCCTGGGTGCCGTTTCTGACAGCGGGTGTTTGCTAGGGCAAGGACGGCGCGTTTTGCAAACTCGGATATTTTCCTTCCCCGCCCCGGGAAGGCCCCCCCGGCCTGCCCTGAGCGCGGGGTTCGCAGGGGAGGGGATGTACCTGGAAAAGTGTCTTGAAACTGGTGCTGCACTGAGCTCCTGGGGTTTGTGTTTAAGGGAGCCAGGATAGCAGAGGCCTCGTTAATGGGCTCTAGAGAAGCGAAGAACTGGCTGGCGGACGGCTGCAAGCTGGGGAGATGAACCCCGCTTGGGCGGCCGGCAGTTAATAAGGAGGTCAGATCTGTGAGCACAGGAACAAGGAGAGCTCTGTTAGACCCGCACTCGGACCCCCCCTCCTGTGCCCAGGGACAGGTCTGGGATCCCCTGCAGCCTGGGGCAGGGGCACACGGGGGCAGCCCGGGGGAGCCTCCGCCGAGGGCCCTTATGTCCTTCCCGGGGAATGCAGGGACCTGCCGCTGGGTTTGCTCCCTGCGCAGGGATATTTGCGGGATGCGGGACAGGAGGGATGGCAGCGACAGGGATCCTGCTACCTGGGGGGACCATGGCCCGCCTGGGGGGCCGGGCTGCGCCCACCTCGCTATTTTTAAGCCTTGGCTATTTTTTTTTCTCTGCGCAGCGCAGCCCTAATCGCAGGAGGGACCAGCGGCTATTTTAGCGGAAGGTCTCAGAAAAAGCCCATTTGTAGCGGTAACCGCGGTAACCTTCCTGGGCTGCTTCGGCAACGTTAAAAAAAAACACGTAATAACAATTAAACTGTAAAGATAAGCACAAGGAAGCAAGAAGAGCGCTAGCAGGGGGAGCGTGCGAGCCGATTCCTCTACCTCTCAGGGTGTTGCCCTCCTTGACTTTGGGGTCGAACTCGGCCGAGAGGATGCGGTCGATGCCGAACTTGAGGTCCTTGCTGGCGGGCGCGGGCGCCGCGCCGTGCGTGTGGCTGC